TTCCAGAAGTGATATAATCTCCAAAGAGTCTGATACAAAAAACCTAAAAATGAGACAATTGCAAATAGTAAAACATATTTAAATATACATACACAAACAAAATAAACTGTCAGTACAGATGCTAGGAATCAGCCACAGAATTAGAGCCCTGCATTTTAAAATTATATTCATTCACTTCCCTTTCAACTCCCACTCAACAGTTCAAAAGTTCTCTGTTCTATGTTTGCCATAAAATCATAAAAAAAAAAATAAAGGACACAGTCTGTATGCAAGCATACAAGGGACCAAAATTACAATAACCTGAATATTATATATTATGTGAGTTACATAAAGGAAAGGCAGCAGTTATCTATAATAAGCAGAACTCCAAATAACTATGTGGTATTCTAATTGATTTGATACTGTTACTTTTAACTATAGTAAAAGCAGTTTTATCAGGCACTTCACCAACTGGAAAGCTCTATAAATCGGCATTTCTGATCTTCATTGAAATTCCAGTTTATAGTCCGGTCGGTGTGGGGACGGTAGGAGGTTGGGACGGAGGAGGGGGTGCGGGACATGGGCTCTGGGAAGGAGTTTGGGTGCTGGAGAGGGCTCGGAGCAGCAGGTTGGGGAACAGGAGGAGGTGCGGGGTGCTAGATAAGGGGGATGCTCACCTCAGGCAGCTCCCCACAAGCAGCGACTTGTCCCAGCTGCTCCTAGGCAGAGGCAGCTCTACGTGCTGTCACCACCCCAAGCACTAGGTCCGCAGCTCCCATTGTCTGGGAACTGCAGCCAATGGGAACTGCAGGGATGGTGCCTGCAGGCGGAGGCTGCGGGCAGAGGTGCCTGATGCACCTCCGCCTATGAGCAGCTGGGACAAGTCATTGCTTGTGGGGAGCCGCTGAAGTGAGTGCCTCCTCACCCAGCTCCCCCTCCCGCGCCCCAACCCGCTGCCCTAAGCCCCCTCCTGCACCCAAACTACCTCCCAGAGCCCTTGCCTCGCACACCCTCCTGCGCCACAACCTCCAGCCCCACACCCCCTCCCACATCCAAACTCCCTCTCTCTTAGTTAACTGGCATTTTTCACTTACTAGCACCCACCATTCCCCCAACATGCTGGATAAAACAGCTTTTACTGTATATTGACATCCTTTTTCACTACCTAAAGTACTCACTGTGTAATAGGCTACAGCAGTGGTTCTCAAACTTTTGTACTGGTGACCCCTTTCACATTGCAATCCTCTGCGTGTGACCCCCCTTATAAATTAAAAACACTTTTTATATATTTAACACCATTATAAATGCTGGAGGCAAAGCGGGGTTTGGGGTGGAGGCTGACAGCTCACGAACCCCCCATGTAATAAACTTGCAACCTCCTGAGGGGTCCCAACCCCCAGTTTGAGAACCCCTGGGCTACAGTCATTGAATTACCAGCACTTTAACTTTTAGAACTCAATCCTTTATTGAAGCTGAGCAATGTTTCTATGTGTGGATCCAAATAGAGTTGGCCCCAATTCTGCTAACACTTATGCATGTGCTTTACTTTACTCTTGAAAGTTCTAATGACATCAACTGGATTAGTCACCTGCTTGAAGTTAAGCTTGTACATAAGTTTGCACTATTGTTGCCTACTTCATAAAACTACGATACTCCAAGCAAGCAAGGAACAATTAACTACAATTGCTCCAAAGGGGCGGGTTGTTTTTAAAGGTCACCATCAGAAAAGGTCTGCCTAAAATTTGGGTTTTATAAAAGTTCTAAAAGACAATTTACTAAATATGGATATCAACAGAATTTTTTCCATGAAAAGTGTTTTGAATAATACTACCAGAAGTCAGTAAGTTCTCATGGTAGACTAGCCTGTTTTCGTTTCCAAGCCAAGAGAAAAGCAAAAAAACATAGTAAGAAGTATCCTGCAGACACTTAGGCAAATGCTTAAGTTTAAGCATGAGTAGTCCCATTATGTCCAGTAGGCGTATCCAAGCTATGTACATGCTTAAATCTTAGCAGGATCAGGGCCCATATGATATATCCAAGTCAATCATGAATAGTGTGGAGAAAGTGAATAAGTGTTATTTACTCCTTCACACAACACAAGAATCAGGGTTATCCAATGAAATTAATGGGCAGCAGGTCTAAAACAAACAAAAGGAAGTATTTCTTCCCACAACCCAGAGTCAACCTGTGGCACTCATTGCCAGGGTATGTTGTAAAGGCCAAAACTATAATGTGGTTCAAAAAAGAATTAGATAAGTTCATGGAGGAGGTCCATCAATAGCTATTAGCCAAGATGGTCAGAGATGCAACTCCATACTCTGAGTGTCCCTAGCCTCTGACTGCCAGAAGTGGATGGGGGGGGAGTGGATGACAGGGGATGGATCACGTGATGATTGCCTGTTCTGTTCATGCCCTCTGAAGCACCTGGTACTGGCCACTGTTGGAAGACAGGATACTGAGCTGGGTGGATCATTGGTCTAATCCAATAAGGCCGTTCTTACTTTACTCACTACTCAAAATAGGCGTTGTACTCGTGTGCAAAGCAAAAAGTAATTGGGTCTTAGTTTACTGTATCTGCAGAATTAACACTACTTGCAAATAATTTAAAGGAGCACATGGGAAGATAGTGCTATAAACATTTTAAGAGTCTGAGCGTGCTCCATGGGCAACTAACTGCTAGGAGCCACAAAACAGGATCTTCATTTAGAAACACTAATAAATATAAAGATTTACATTCAGCCTCTGCAACAAAGTGTTCGTAAAAAAAAATAGGTAATTAATAGCAAATCTGATCAAAATATTTTAAAGTAAATCTTGCTTGACAAAACAGGTTTTTCTTTAGACCTGCATCTTGCAACAATTTGAACATATCCATAACTTTACACACGAGTATTCCTTCTAAAGCAAATACAGTACTCAGACATTTCACACCTCATCTACACAGGGAATTTTACAAGCACAGTTATACAGTAATAGCTCATGTGGTCGCTCAATTCCTTATGTAGATTGTGCATATTCTTAACTCATTACAGTATCAAGGGCCTTATTAAACAGAGTGACATATCTCAGGCTTCTGGGATGCAGCATGAAGCAATTTTCTTTATCCACTGCATATTGATGCTCCTAAACCAAGGCTCACACCATCAGCACTGAGCACCACCTCAAAACACAAGATGGAAGACTTGCATGCCACCCACCATCTCCCTTCACCAGCAAATACCCAAGGGCTAAATTTCAGAGTAGCAGCCGTGTTAGTCTGTATCCGCAAAAAGAAAAGGAGTACTTGTGGCACCTTAGAGACTAACAAATTTATTAGAGCAAAGGCTTTCGTGAGCTACAGCTCACTTCATCGGATGCATACAGTGGACAATATAGTGGGGAGATTTTATATACAGAGAGAACATGAAACAATGGGTGTTACCATACAGACTGTAACAAGAGTGATCAGGAAAGGTGAGCTATTACCAGCAGCAGAGTGAGGGGCGGGGGGGGAACCTTTTGTAGTAATAATCAAGGTGGGCCATTTCCAGCAGTTGACAAGAACAGTAGGAGGGGAAATAAATAAGGCGAAATCATTTTACTTTGTGCAATTGACCCATCCACTCCCAGTCTCTATTCAAGCCTAAGTTAATTGTATCCAGTTTGCAAATTAATTCCAATTCAGCAGTCTCTCGTTGGAGTCTGTTTTTGAAGTTTTTTTGTTGAAGAACTGCCACTTTTAAGTCTGTAATCGAGTGACCAAAGAGATTGAAGTGTTCTCCGACTGGTTTTTGAATGTTTTAATTCTTGACATCTGATTTGTGTCCATTTATTCTTTTACGTAGAAACTGTCCAGTTTGGCCAATGTATATGGCAGAGGGGCACTGCTGGCACATGATAGCATATATCACATTGGTATATGCGCAGGTGAATGAGCCTCTGAGAGTGTGGCTGATGTGATTCGGCCCTATGATGGTGTCCCCGAATAGATATGTGGACACACTTGGCAACGGGCTTTGTTGCAAGGATAGGTTCCTGGGTTAGTGGTTTTGTTGTGTGGCTGCTGCTGAGTATTTGCTTCAGGTTGGGGGGCTGTCTATAAGCAAGGACTGCCCTGTCTCCTAAGATCTGTGAGAGTGTCACAACAGCAGCAATAGGAGCAATGTTATTTGCCCAATCTCTCCTCCTCCACCACCACTAACCCCGCCTTCTGTGGATACTCTCTTACACCTCAAGTAGAGCACATAGCACCTCCACAACCCCTCTTGCCCCAAGACAAGGGAGAATGAGCTTTGAATTATTTTCTTGCCACCCCCCCATCATGCCCACAGCTTCACCCCACTGCGTAGGCTGCCATGCTACCAGCAATGAGTATTTATACTACCGAGCCAGGAAAGGGGATCCAGGCAGGATGGACACCCACAATCCCAGCCCACGCACCCAACCCTGCCACTAGGAGATTGCAGCTAGAAAGAGTCACTGAGTCCTAACAGCCCACATATGGCAAATCAAGGAGCCTTCATTGCGCATGCGCAAGATTTTCCAAAGACTTAAAGACGCCCTAACTGTGCAAACGCCCATGGACCAGCTACTAAGACGCAGTAACGTGCGAGCGCGCAGAGCTGCAATCAGCGCCTCGCACTCCGACCGGACAAAGTCAGAAATCACTCAAGTGACTGTGAATACGCATGCGCACTCACTCCAGCAGAGCTCAACAGCCGCAGAGCATGCGCAGCTGCCAGCCCATACAGAACACATCGGTAGTACACATGCGCACTTCCTTCGCAACGGCGGACGGGGCTAGCCAGCATCTGCCGCAGCAGAACCGAGCCGTAGTGCGCATGCGTGCCCGAGTTTGCTTTGCGAGCACCAGCCCAAGCGGCTGCCCTCCCCCACATCCAGGCCCCCAGCCAAGGGGCATCTTCCCCAGTCCCAGCCAAGGCTGGCTGCCCTGCCTGCCCAGGCTGAGCGCTTCAGCGCTTCCCCTCCCTCCTTGGGGCTCGCACACATACCCCGCCCCCCGCGGACAGTGCCGGACTTACCGTGCTCTGCGGGGCGGGCGGAGTTGGTCCGGGGGGCTCCGGATTCAGCCGGTTTCGGCTGGGTCGGTCCCGGCGTCACACAATGAAATCAGCGCCTCCGATCATTAATTCTCATCATGATCGTGACGTCAGCGCAGACAGCGGCCAATGGCAGCCTAAGATCAGCGCCGGCCGGGACAGTCCTTGCCCCCGCCCCTCCCGCCAGGGGGAGCGCCTGGTACAGAGAACAGCCCGCCTGAGGTGGGAGGGGAGGCCAGTACAAGGAACAGCCGCGCTGCTGCGATGGGTGGCTGCCTGCCTCAGGAAACAGCCCCGCCCAGCTCGGGATCGGAGCGCGAGGCCCAGGGAAGAGGCGGGGCACAGACGGGCGGAAGGCGGCGGGAGTCGTCTGCCTCCTCCCCAGCCTACGGGGGCCGGGCTGCGCCCCTCGCCTCCTTGTGGGAACGCCGCTGGCCCGCAGCACGCCCTGCTGCGCCCCTTGGGGAGGGGGCGGGCTCTTCCTCCCGCCTGCCTGCCGCGGCCACGCTCCCGCGCAACCTGTGCTCAGCTGCGCTTATCACAGCGTGTCAGCGGCGGTTTGGCCGGCGTGCTGCTGCGGTCTTCGCCGCGCGGGAGCGCGAGCCCGAGCCCGAGCCCGAGCCCGGCCGGCATTGCCCTCGCCCCCCTCCCCTGCCAGGGAGCCGCCCCGCTTCCGCCGCGCGGCGCTGGTGATGGGTGGGGCCGGATCGAAGTGTTTCACGCGCAGAGGCTAGCGGGGCCCGGCCTCCTGGGCCACGGGCAGGACTGGCTGCCTTGCAGCGTTCTCGGCCCTGCTTGGCTTGGGAGAGGAGCCTTGCACGGTGGCTATTCCTCCCTTGTCCGTCCCGGGGCTCCCACTGCCGCCTTTTGCTGAGGGTAGTCATGGCATGCGGACTCTTCCGTGGGGCAGTAAGTTCTCCTGGGAGGGCTGGCTCAGTCATTGGAGTCTGAAATAGCTGGGCTTTCTTAACGACTCCTTTGCCTTCTAGCAGGGGCAGCTGACCCCTTCCTCCACTTTCTCCACAGAGAGAAGTCTGCTATGATGTTTTGTTTGTATCTTTCAGGTGAGACGCAACGTCAAAGCCCTGCCTGCTTTATGTGGGCATCAAAAGTCTTGGGGTACTTCTCGTACAAGTGAAGTGTTTTGTCTCACTATTTTCAGCCACCCCACCGCTTAAGGTTTCTACTGTTGTTAAGGTGGTGTTTCACCATCCCTGAGGTGGCTGTATTATCGTGCTGTATTCATATAAACCCTGAACCTGCAAAGAGCCACACTGATGCAGACCCTCACCTTCACCTGAAGACCCATTGAAATGACAGGAACACACTGCAGTCAATGAGACCACACATAAACATGAGGCACCATACCAACTCATCTGTTTGCAGGATTGGGGCTAGAGAAAAATAGAATCATTGACGGTCATGTAAAATTATTATTTGCTGCTTATATCGCAGCAGCACCCAGAAGCCCCAGTTGGGATTAAGGGCCTATTGTGCAGATTCAGACAGATACAAGCTCCTTGCTTCAAGAGCTTACATTCTAAGACTCCCGATCCTAAAGAGATTTATGCAGGGGCTTAACTTTATGCACATGAATAGTACCAATAACTTTCATTGAAGTACTTGGGCATAAAACTTTGCAGTAATGGTGGCCAAAGAAAGCACGTGTTATATGTAGGGTCAGTGTAATAGGGATACAAGTAATGTGCATCAATAGTGTAAAGTGGCAGATTTGCATGTAGATTACAAATTTAGGTTTCAGAGCGGTAGCCATGTTAGTCTATATCAGCAAAAAGAACGAGGAGTACTTGTGGCACCTTAGAGACTAACAAATTTATTTGAACATAAGCTTTCGTGGGCTAAAGCCCATTTCAATTTATGGTCAAATAAATTTGTTAAGAACAAGGAGTACTTGTGGCACCTTAGAGACTAACAAATTTATTTGACCATAAATTGAAATGGGCTTTAGCCCACGGAAGCTTATGCTCAAATAAATTTGTTAGTCTCTAAGGTGCCACAAGTACTCCTCGTTCTTATTACAAATTTAGAGATCATACACATTCAGAATTTATTTTTAGTGCATGTTAGTGAAAATGTTTTTAAGTACTTGGATACAATGTATAAAACAATATTCATATAAAGAAAAAATATTTCCAGATTTGTGCAAGCTGTAATAGTCTAAATTGAGAGAGATTAAGTATCTTATTGGAACACACATTGAAAAATCGTAAAATATATTTTAAAAACTGTCTTGCAATGTATCCAGAATAAGGGATCTTCTCATAAAGGGACAAAGCTGCATCTCAGAGTGGGTTCAATTCTGTACTTGTTACACAGGCAAAACTAATTTAATGGAAGTTTTGCCTCTGAGGGCTGCAGGACTGAGTTCATATTGATTTTTCTGTGGGGTCTCAAATGAACAACTATTATATAGCTCCTAAAATAACTCTAATTTTTGATGAACCCTTCAACATCTAGCAAAATTTTAAAAGGGATGAACCCATACAGAATTCTTTTATATGGAATGGAGAGTCTACATGGTCTTTCTTGTTTGTTTGTTTTTTACTGTATGATTGAGTCCTTTAAGCTAGTAAAATATTTTGCTGTTTTAATGTATATTTCTAGAAGATGTAATAACCCATGCATCAGTACTCAACATTTCAGATGGCCTAAACTGGGACCTAGGATATAATTAATCATCTCTATACCCTTTTTTTAGGGTTAAATGGAGTTTTCTGCTTGTGTAAGCAGAGGGAACTGTTATCCAGTATATAGCTTTTCTCCCACAGGAGAGAGAGATTTGTAGATTTTACTTTATTGTGAACTGCTGGAAGGTTTTTCAGTTGCTGTAAGATTATTCTGTGCTTTAGCCTTTCAGAGACCTTTACACAAAATCAGTAATTTTAAATCCATTAAACTCAGATGCAAAAAAATACTGACAATATACCTAAATGCGTAGACTGTTGGTGCTTCATCAGTTGAGACTGAGCCGATCACAACATGTCTTCCAATCTTCTCTCGCTCTGTCCATCCTTCCCCATGCTTGTTCATATCTCCTTGTTAGGAAGTCAGCCCACATCTTTGAAGGCCAACCGCGTGGCCATTTCTGTTCTTGCGGATACCACTCAGATATAGCTGCGGTCCATCTGTTGTCGCTGAGTCAGGCCACATGTCCCGCCCACCACATTTTGCTGAGCCTGCTTTCAACAACAATATACCTAAATATAACTTTTATAAATTTAATCCTGTTTGAGAGAGACAAAATTTCATTTTAATGAGATTATAAAACACACACACAAAAATTATACAACAGGCAGTACAAGGCTATGTGTGAGGTAAGCATTTTTATGTGTGGAAAATTCAAATGATTTTCTACTAGTTTTTCCTTTTGTGAGGATAATGAGAATATTTCCTATTGTGATATAATAAGATAATATGCCATCTACTGGCAAACCATGTAATATCTTAGTTGCATAAATTTAAACAGTGATTTTGAGATTTTTCAACTATATTTTCATGCTACCTGAAGTTTTTCAAAGTATAATTTTACTATTTCTAATCACAAGTTTTTGGCATATGTACTGAACACTTTGGCATACATTTGCTTGAGCACAAAATATCTTTCTAGCGGTATTAAAATACGTCTCTTTCAACTGTTCAGCAAAAATAACTCTCCCATTAGTGTTATAAGTTAAGCTTCTGTAAGAAGTTTCATCATGTCTTCCTTCAAATCGCTCCTCCAGACACATCTTTTCTGCAACACCTATAGGGAATTAGCCAATGAATAAAGCCTAGTTGAGGAGCGGATAGGAATAGCAGCATTCACTTTATTTTATTTATTTATAATTTCAAGAGCCAGATTTTCCAGTCCCCCCAATATCATTTTGTTCTACATACACTTATACAGCATAAAGAGAACCTAAAGTTCCTGAAGATTCCCATTGGGAAATTCCCCCTGTTCATTGTGCATTTCTGCTGGGATAAAACTGGTGGTGGTCTGCTGCTTCCTACACCAGAACCATCCCCCTGTGTAAGGGAACAGGGTAGGCATAGTAGGAGAGGAAATGAGAGGGGGCATGATAAGCAAAAGCTCCACTATAGCTAATTCTCATCTGGCGTAAGGTACCTGAAGAACCTCATGGCATCTGCAGATGAGAATCAGAGAGCTTGGACTGGCTCCCTGAAAGCCTTCCTTCTCCATTGAAACCAGACAGAGAATCAAGCCCCAAATGTATATAATTGTATATGATTATATCTCCCCCCCCCCTTTTTTTTTGTATGTCATTTGTTTTCTTAGGTCCAGATCCTGTACTATTCTGGGCTGGCAACCAATGCAGAAGGGATCGATTTAGTGGGTCTACTAAAGACCTACTAAAATGGTGGCAGAGCACTCTCCGGTCGACCCTGGTACTCCAGCTCTCCAAGAAGAGTAAGGGAAGTCGACCAGAGAGCATCTCCTGTCGACACAGCGCAGTGAAGACACCAGGGTAAGTTGACCTAAGCTACATCAACTCCAGCTACGTTATTCGTGCAGCTGGAGTAGCATAACTTAGGTTGATTTACTTCTGTAGTGAAGACAAGCCTTCAGTGTAGACTTCGCAGCCAAAGATTCTGATCCTGCAAACAATTATTCATATACTTAATTTTACATGTTCCCTTTGGAAGAAAAGGATTCCTCTCATGCTTAAAATTAACAACATCTGTGTTTTCAGGTGGAGGGTCTGGATTACAAATGCTTAGAGGCAGGGATCATGTCTTTCTATGTGGTGATACGGTGTCAAACACAAAAGGGCCCCAATTTGATTGGGGCTCTCGGTACTACTGCAGTATAATTATTAAAACATAATAATATTCCCCATTCTTTCTAGAGGTTTGGATCTGAGTTGTAGAAATTCACTACACGTTTGGCATACCAATCTACGTCCAAAGTTTGAAGTCATTTCATTCAAAAGTTGTTTGTTTGGTCTTTGTTTTGAGAAGGACATCTTCTATTATTTTAAAATCTTTATAAGGTGTTTGACAATATACATTTAATTCTCTCCTCCTTTAATAGTTAACATATTTATTTGAATATCTTTTGCAAAAGCACAATAGCACCTCTTCCCGTCCTCTACTTCCCTTAATGTGTAGCGAGAACACTTTTCATGTCATTTTCACAAACTGTGGTCAAGTGTTATACCTGGATCTTGATCCTATGCTAGCCAAAGGAACTACCTGATTGCAGAAGAAAGGGAGGTACTAGTTAGGAAGAGGACACTAAGATGCTCCTATATTCTTCAGCTACCAAAATTCTATTAAGGAAACATTTACCCCTTTAAATATAGCTTTAAAGTAAACCCTGGTAAAGAGAATAGTTT